ATCTGCTTTATTGCAGGTACTACCTGAAGGAGTCCAAAGGAAGCAGAAGGTGGTTAATATTTCTGGAGGGTAAGTGTGAAGCGTTCAATCATCAGAATAACTTGTGTAGAAGATTTGATCACCATTGTGTGTATCTGTCATGCAGAACATGTAAGACACACGTGTCTCTCTGCAGGTGGCTGGTTCTGCTTCAACAAAGAGAACTGTGACAGCAGATACGAGACCACGAGGAGGCTCATGAGCTCCTCCAAATGGCCACAAACCAAGACAGGTTAGAAATGCAACGGTCTTGTCAACTGAAACTCCATTTCTAATAGTATTACTGGCTTATTCACAACCAGTCCAAATTTTTTGGCATGATAAACATACATGAACTAGATTTCAAAATGAATATGCATAGATTGTTCTCATTTCAGTTTTATTTCATAATGTATGTCTTTGTTAACTTTAGGCACAGGAATACTTGCGTTACTCTCCTTACCATACTGTGATGCCCGGTCAGGCCGCAGCGACGAGACAAAAACATTAGAACCCATTATAAACTAGGCATTTGTTGCATCCAGTGGGAACATAATTACACAGATCTTGAACATTGCATGTCCTCACTCCACTATTGTATAACTAAAAGTGACTGTATAACAAAGGCAGTGCTAGGTATATTTCCATTTCTGACACCTGCTTGTCACGGATAAGACGTTTTTTTTTATTTATCGTTATGCTGTTCAAACAACACCAAGAGTGCAGAGACAAGTGAGCCGGGTCCAGACTTCTCCTCTGATATTCACTGTCACTTAACAAAATACTCTGTTCATAAGCGCCACCAAGCTGTAGTTTTATGTAACAGCAGCAGCAGCTCTGGGCATGTGATCAAAAGTGCAAATCTTATTGGTTGGCCAGCTTCTTTCACAGTGCCATGGAAAATAGCTTAGAAAACCTCTGTTAAAAAATCATCACATTGGTAGTATGCAAATGTTTTTGTCAGTTCATTTTTATTGCATTAAATAATAGACATGGTGTGAACAGTCTTTCAAATACAAATAGCATTCCATGATTACTTTTTTCCTCGTATGCATGTGAACTTGACCGAGTTAGACATTTAGGAATGAACTGAACTTCTTGTTGGCAGATACTGGGGCGATGTGGTACCAGAACGATGCCGACAGGCTTATGAAGGAAAAGAATGGAACTGCTTCTTTGGATATAAAGTTTATCCTACCATTAAACGTGAGTCTAGGGCATACCAGGCACCAAACACGGCCACATTTTTCCTAGTTCTTTACAGACGATGTTGAGTTTGGTTACTTTTGTTAACCCAATGTGATGTTTCTTTGTCGCAGGCCCTGTGTTTATAGTGCAGTGGCTGTTTGATGAAGCCCAGCTAACGGTAGACAACATTCATCTGACGGGACAACCGGTTCAAGAAGGACAGTGGCGTTATATTCAGAATCTAGGGACTGAGCTGAGGAACACTCTGAAGGATGTCCCGTAAGTATGACCTGCCCTTCAGAGACTCTCATTGTGAAGAGAGCATGAATTTATATTTGACGTGAACACTTTTGCTATTTCTAATACTCTGCTTTTCACCTCCAGTGCCATGTTTGCTCCTGCTTGCCTTTCGCATGAATTCATAACAAGAAAGTAAGTGATCTCTTTGATTATTTTGTGTATCTTGTAGATCAGATTTGCTGACAGTTCAGGAGTATATTTATGCTTGTGTTTTACCACTTTTCTAGTTATTTACATGACGTTTAAATGAAGTTCAAATTGTTATTTTCCCCATTTCCATAATGAAATGGATGCTCATTGACTAGCTCTTCCCTCTTGTGTTTGTTGTAGTTACTGGACTGACGTCAAAGTCAAAGGCACGTCTTTACCCAGAGCGCTCCACTGCTGGGACCGCAGTCTACAAGAAAACAGCCGAAATAATAAATCCCCTCCCAAAGGCTGTCCCGTGCACTTGATCGACAGCTGTCCGTGGCCTCACTGCAACCCGACGTGCCCAACGATCCGAGACCAGTCGACGGGACAGGAGATGAACGTAATCCAGTTCCTCATGCACATGGGCTTTGATGTACAGAAGATGGCCCATCAGCAGGGCATGGACCCAAGTAAGCTACTGGGCATGCTCAGCAGCGGCAGCTAAATACCGTGGAAGGACTCGCTCCCGGTTGGGACCGTGATTCCCATCAGTCCGTTTGATACCTCCAACCCCACACCCGCCTCAGCTTTGACCTCAGGCTAAGCCCTGCATTTAGTCGGGGCTCTGTGCCAACTCTCTATGGGCTTCCGTCTCCAGATCTCCTCATTAATGATCAGTTGGTTTCCATTTTGCTCCAGTCTACACTATTACCACTGAGCAGCTTGGAGATGGTGGAGACGCCCAAAACGAAAAAAAGATTTGGAACAGAGCCCTTGTCAGATCCACCTCCGATAAACCATGGGCTGCTGACTGTTTAATGGTTCCCAACACAACACGGTACCAATGAAAGTACTGAAGAACCATGTAACCAGGACAATGTACACCAGCATCTTTGCTCTTAGTTTATCTTTTGGTTATAAAAGTATCACGAATGTAATCCAGTTTTACGGATCTTCAGCATTGTTGTTTGCTTAGGTTTTTATCTCATTTTCTTTTTTCTTTTTTTTACCAATATAGTAAGCCACAGTTTATTAGAGTTTTATGTGTCCATTCAGAGGAAGTAAATCCAGAGAGCAAGAGAACAGAGATTATCGATTATAGAGTTTATAATTGAGTTTATGAAGTACATATAAAATATATGGATCTACTCAAGACTATAAAGAATCTTAAAAACAGGAATTTTGGAACAGGCAGACACGGGATCACCTGCTCTAAACCCAACATCTTTCTTGGGGTATGGCTAAGTTATGATAAAATGTCGTCATAATAGTTAAGGAATAGTCAGCCCTATAATAAATTGTCACCATTTACTTAATTCCCATGCCATTGAAAACATGAATTATTTATTTCTTCAGTAAAACACAGCTGGAGAACTTCTCAAGAATGTCCAAGCTTCCGTTTTTGATACCATGGTCATGTATACTGCCAAAACGTACATAATGGCGCTGTAAAAGTATGATAGTAGTCCATATGATCATACTGTCAGGGTTGGGGATGAGGCGAGGTCTCAGTAGTGCAGAGTAATGGGCTTTTAATAGTAAAATAAAACAAAACAAGAAACAAAAACTACCCCGTGGGGGAAAAACAGGCTGGCAAGACAGGATCAGGACAAGGCTGACAGGATACATGCGATGACGAACTCGCACAGGACTGCAAACACAAGGAGAATAAATAGGGAGCAAATGAGGAGGGTAACCAGGGAACACAGGTGGGGCAAGTTAACCAATAATCAGGTAATAAGACGGGTGGGGTCAAGACAATTGACATGAGAACACATGGCACACAGGAAACAAAGACAAAAGCCATGTGCTCACACAAAACAAAAACACAAGCACACGGCCAGCAAAACAATCACAAGCCATGTGCTTGAACAAAACAAGACAGGAACACTCAGCTAATGAGAATACTCATAAGACGCGTGTTCACACAAGACAAGACAGCACGCAGCCAATGAAAACCAAGCTGCGTGCTACACAGCACAAGACAAAACAGGGCATGAAAGCACGCAGCCGTTAACACGAGCTGCATGCAACAACAACACAAGACAACAAGAAAAGCACGTGACCAAACACAAACCGCGTGCTACACAACACACGTGGACAGAAGAGCACATGGCCGAGCGAACTCGAGACCGCACGCTCCCACAACAAGACAGAACATGGAGCGTGCGTGTCCGGACCCCGACACGAGACCGAAACTCAACAAGACATGAGTGCCGGGATCCGAACACCACGCTCCAACATGAAACAAGGAAACAGGACACGCAGACGAGAGCGCACGGCTCGAGCACTCTCGAAGCCACACGCTCGCATGAAAACAAGACATGACGGGAGTGTCAGGGCTCTGTCACAAAACCATGGATAACACTAGACCGAAGTTACAGAACCCTGACACTTACATTATATTCCAAGTCTTCTGAAGCCATTCAGAAGTTATTCACCTCAGCCATAGCTCTCAAATCTCATTTGTGATCAAGTGGACACATAAACAACCATCAGTGACTTTAGGCCTTTTACCTGGACTCAAGTGCGAATGACAGTTGTGAGCTCTGGCACTAAAATCAGAATATGTTTCGTGGTATGGATGAAAAATCCATACTACGGATCATGGTATAGGAAAGTAATCATATGGACTATTTTTGGAGAATTCTGAAGCAGTATAAATCTACTTGTGTTTGTATACAAAAACAGAAGATTGGACATTGTTGAAAATTGTTCAGCTGCATGAGGGTGAGTAAATGATAACTGAATTTCAGGTGAACTATTCCTCTATGGTACAAAATATATACATGCTCACAAATCCAGGATGAAATGCTGATTCCTGAAAACAGATCCTCCTTTTCATAGTCACATTCCAGGCACACAATATGCTGAATGTAACCCTGCTACTCAGGTCGGTCTCTTTGCCTTTTTGGTGTATTTTCAGTTGAACTTTCACATTGTATTAAAATGGGGATTTCACTCATTTCACTGTGTAGAAACTCTTGGGACATCTTTTTCTTTGTATCCTAATGGTAAAATAAGACAAAATTACACTGTTTGAGTGCTATTCCCATTCATGTAATAAACCACCATTGTACTGACATGACAGTAAGGCGATGGTTGATCACAGTATTATCAATGCAACCTCTCACTTGATTGGGTATTGTGCTCTTTATCTATGTCTAGGTTTTCTTAACAGCTGACTCCTTTGTGAGTACTTTTGTCAAATGAAGACACTCTAGACTGTTAAAATATTTAATAGAAAATTACTTTTGTAATATAACTTTTATATAGCGGTCTCATGAAAAATAATAATAAAAAATAAACCAACCAAAAGAAAAGAAAGGTATTACTAATTGCTATTTTGTTCTGTAACATCTTTTTTAACAGAAAACTCAATCTACATTGCTAAGTTGCATATTTATTTTATGTAAATCATATTTATAATGCTATTTTCACAGTGAAGTGATTCTTTGTCATTTGTAAATAATGCTGTTTTTTTCTTGTGTTAAATGCATGTATGTTTCCATGAGAGAACACATTACAGTTATTTCAAAGAAACATTCAGTATTGCCTTTCTCATTTTTTAAAACACATTTAATTCCCAAATCCTCATTGCCGACCTCATGGTTTTACTGAATTAAGAACCATGATATTTTAACGCAGCATATTTTATATGCACAACATAACAGGCCTATTTCTATCAGGAATTGATTGGAGGGTGATATGTGGATTTAAGACCACACTGTAAAAAAAATTCCGTAAAATTTACGGTAAAAAAACGGCAGCTGTGGTTGCCGGAATTTTACCGTAAAATTAATGTCCAATACATAGTAGGGGAATTTACCGTTAACCATTTAACAGGTTTTTACTGTAGCATTTTTACAGTCTTTTACCGTTAAATTCACTGTAATTTTTTACAGTGTTGGGGGTAAAGCATTACAAGTAGCGCAAGTTATGTAATCTGATTACTTTTTTCAAGTAACTAGTAAAGTAATGCATTACTTTTTAATTTACAAGAAAATATCTGAGTTACTTTTTCAAATAAGTAACACCAGTTACTTTGTTTTCCCATTTATTGACTGACAGCTCTGCTGTCCCCATGTTCAGAGAAATCGGGAGTAAGTGCAGAGGCATTGTGTAAGTAAACATGATGTTACTGTAGTTCTGGACTAAATGTGAACATGCATTTACTCACTTGCACAAAAACAGATTCAGTATTATTCAAAATAAATAAAAACAGTTGCATGCAAACTTTTTTGGAATAAATAACACAAATATCCTTTATGGATTTAATCCCATTTTATTAACTAATTGTCTTTGCTACTGACCTTCAATTCAACCACACTAATAAGCAAAAATGACTTTAGACAAACAAAACATTTGTGTTTCTTTTTTTCTTTTTTTTATTGCTGAAGAGTGTCAAACTTGAATGGCTGCACAGCTGAAAGGTTTGTTTGAGCTGCATCCTCTACTGTACAGATGTGAATTTACATTTCCTTCAGCCTTTTTATATTAAAAACAAACAAGCAAGCCCAGCTCAGATTTAAAAAGTAATGCAAAAGTAACATAAGGTATTACTTTCCATAAAAAGTAATGTAATTTGTTACTTTTAAAGGGAGTAACACAATATTGTTATGCATTACTTTTAAAAGTAACTTTCCCCAACACTGTTTAAGACTGACTGGAGCCAAGTGTTTGGAGAGGAGGGGTTTCAAAACAAAACAAAACACACACACACACACACAAAACCGTGCACCTATTAGTACTTTAAATGTACATACTATTACCTGGATTGTACATATTAATACCTTTTTGAGGATACAGCCCTAGTGCCAACTGAGTGTACACTTGATGACTGTAGAAGAAGCATCTAAATGTAGCGTCTAAAAAAGTTAGGAAAGTATAAAAAGCTACTTCTTAATTTTAAAATAAAGACATCCAGAAGCATTAGTTGATGTAAAACAAAAATACCACTAAGGAAAAAATAAAAGAATGTCTTGAGTAGCATGTACAAGACTGACAAGCAATCTTTCATCTTCCGTTTAATCTTGGGCCATTACTTTGCACTTTTTCTTTGAGCCAGACAGATGTGCCAGGGCCTACACCTTGTAACTGTCCCTAAATAGCACACACACACAGTTTGCAACCATATGAAACACGACTCCCTGCACTGTTGCTTGACACGGACATTTGGATTCCCACCCCATTCCACAGTGGAATATAGGGCTCTATTTATAGAGCTGGTGGAGCCCGTGGCCCTGAGCTCGGCAGAACGCACTCATTAAAACCGCTTTCCCTAGTACACTTCAACTCAAAGCCCAGCACACGCCAGTGTGAGTGTGAGAGAGAGTGGAAACAGTGCTAGAGCGAGTAAGAGATCTAAGTAATAAGTGTTAAAAGAAGAAGAAAGTTTGAAGAAATTGAGAACCTGATACCATCTCATGTGGAATATTTACCGGATTATGCTATGAAGAGACACTTCAGCTAAAGCAGCATCTTGAAGGTAACATTCGACTTGTGTGGAACTTTCAGCGTAGAATCAGTGATCACAATCAACTGACAAATACCAAGAGCAAGACCTGCGAGGGCAAGGTGACTATGTAAAGACCCAAGCTGTAAGGTGTCAAAGGGAGCCATTGACTGAAAATTTGGAACTTTATGTAAATAACAGCAATTGTTTTGAATTTAAAAGACAATTATTTTATGGTCATCCTGTTGCTTTGCTATATTTTGCTAGGCGGTCTTTTGGAAATCTAAAAGTACTTGTAACAAAGATACTCTTCGACTCACAGACAGAGAGAACATCTAGAGTTTTTACTGTAATCTGATCCCACACACTCTGCAGTAATTATAAAGCAGAGCTGGGAAGCAGTAAAGGAGATTTGTCATTAAGGCTGCCTAAATAAAGAGGCAGGCCAAGGGCGAGGTTTGTGGATTGGGCCGTGGAGGTGCAGCGACACTCGTCTGATTCATCGAGATCCACCCAAAGCTTCCCATGGACCCCCAAGGAGGCCATTATCTAAACAAGGCGGCAGTGCTGTCCGGACTCGGCGCTGCCCGGATGTGCCAGCTCCTTCTCGGTTGCACCACCATGGCCCTGGTGGCCCACAGTGCGGGTTTCAGCGCCACCTACGGGACCTACTGCATGTTCGTCTGGTGCTTCTGCTTTGCCGTCACACTAGTGGTCTTCACCATGGACATGACGAGGCTACACGGGTGTATGCCCATCTCCTGGGACAACTTCACCGTGGCCTTCGCCATGTTGGCCACTCTCATGTACGTCACGGCATCAATAGTGTATCCGGTCTACTTCCTCAGGTCCGAGTGCCCACCTGAGGGCTGCGAGGTGCGCAACTA